ACCAGTTTGTCTAGTGAAAGTAGGACCAACTAACCAGCTTCCCTATACTTCTCATTCTGACAAAGCTGTAGAAAGATATCACACATGTGTTCACTCAAAGGCTCGCCTTTCACCAATACCTGATCTACTGGTGGTGATATTTTGCATATTTGTATTGCCACCTCACTCCATGGGCTAGCAGTGCCCTCTTTACTGCTGGAAGCAGAGACATCAACATCTTTAAGACTAACCACACTTGAGAACCAATTTAGAAAACTCGTCCTTACAATTTTGTTTCTCTAGAGCCACTCTCGGTACCAAATGTCTTAGGCTGGGTTTTCTAGAGAAGCAAAACCAGTAAAGTGTATAAATATAGAGAGAGATTTATATCAAGGAAATAGCTCACGCAATTGTAGAGGCTAAAACGTCCCAAGTCCACAGATCAGGGTAGAGGCCTCTCCCAGTTCACGTAGCCACAGAAGCTGGTGAACCCAAGGTCCGCAGGTCGGAGAGGGGCTCCCACTCACGGGCTGTGAAGGTCAATGAATTCCAAGATCAGCAGACAAGACCGCAAGGTTTCTCCTGATTCACGTAGCTGCAGGGCTAGCAAACCCAAGGTCAGTAGGTCGGGGAAACGGACTCTTGCTTGCAGGCTGAGAAGTTCAACGAATTCCAAGATCAACAGGTAAGCTGCTAGCTCAAATCCCACGAACCGGAGATGAGACAACAAGAAGCAGCTGCTGAGTCTGGAACAAGCCAAAAACCTTGGCAAGGTGAGCAGGCAGAAAGTAACTGGCAGAAGGCAGAGAGATGAAACTGAGAGGGTGGTGAGCTGCCACAGGCCCCGCCTCCGCCAGTACCACTCAGCACATTCCATCATGGGGGTGATCACAACATTATACAACTGCTAAAACACTGAGAATAATGGTCTAGCCAAGATGACATACAATCTTAACCATCACAGCTGGGTTCAATAATTTTTTGCAATGGCCACACAGAACTCACACACAACACTCACAATTGTGGAGTTTATTAGGGAAGTAACAGGTTACAGCTCAGGTTCAAGGACACTCAGGATACAGTTCTTCGATCAGGACGGCCTCTTCTCAGCCGTGCCTGCAGGCAGGCCTCTCTCTGGCCTCTCAGCCTGTTATATAGGCTATAATATAATATTCCATGGTACGGATATGCCACAGTTTGTTTATCCATTCACTTATTCACCTGTCTCTTCAGTGTCATTCCTCTTCTCAGCCTTGCCCCCAGGCATGCCTCTCTCTGGCCTCTCAGCCTCTGCCCTGCTTGGGCAAGTGTTATGAAGCTCTTTTAGCTCTGCCGGTAAGTACCTAGAGGCACCCCACTCTGCCAGAAAGCCTCCTTCACGAAGGTGCTCAGCTTTCTCAATCTGTCCTCCAGGAAGCTCACTGCACTGTCTCCTGCTGGTCTCCTGGTTCTGCTGCCTCTGCTGCCACCATTTCTCTGCCTCTGCTTCTCGCTGTCCCTCTCTGTCTCCAGCGTTACAGCTCTCTCTCTCTGTCTCCTGGATCTAGAAGGTTTTCAGCAGAGGGATCCCAGGTCCAAACGATGCACTTCACTCCTGGCTCTTCTTTCTTGGTAGTGGTGAGATCCTCCACCCCCATCTCTGGGATGGCTCATTTTAAGCCTAGTGGAGTGGCAAAACTGATCAATCCCCTCGTTAGAGTTCCATACACCTTGTTTGCATGGTCCCATCCCCATAAGGGTGCCGTGCAACATTATTAGCAAGCTATCCAATCCCCTTGGTGGGCCACAAGCACCTCATTTGCATAATCCCATTCAGTCTTTTCATGGGAGTTATAAGACCATGTCAAGAAAGGCCATATAAAAGTGATCCATCACACTTCACTATGCCACCAGTATTTCAAATATCAGCAGGGTCACCCATGGTGAACAGGTTTCAGGAGAGCTTCCAGATTAAGACAGACTGGGAAGAAAGGCCTGGTGATCTATTTCCAAAAATTAGTTAATGAAAACCTTATGAATCACGACAGGATGTTGTCCAACTTGCTTGCTTTGGACATGTCATCAGGAGGAATCAATTGCTAGAAGAGGACATTGTGTTTGGTGAAGTAGAGAGCCAATGAGGGTGAGGGAAACCTTTGGTGAGACAGATTGGCACAATAGCCACAATGATGAATTTGAACATGCCAGCAATTGTGAAGATGATGCAGGACTGGGCAACATTTCACTCTGTTTTATGTAAGTTGGAGTCAACTCGATAGCAGCTATTTAGCTATGTATCTACATCCAAAACCAAATCAAATCTGTTGCTGTCAAATAAATTCTGATTCAGTAGAACTGCCCGACAGTGTTTCCAAAGCTGTAACCTTTTTTTTAAAATTTGTTTTATTTTGCTGTTGTTGAGAATATACACAGTAAAAACATACACCAATTCAAGTTTCTACATGTCCAATTCAGTGACATTGATTACATTCTTTGAGTTGTGCAACCATTCTTATCCTCCTTTCCTGAATTGTTCCTCAGCCTTTAACATAAACTCACTGCCCCCTAAGATTCCTATCTAATCTTTTGAAATGCTGTTGTCAGTTCGATCCCATACAGATAGTTCTTAAAAGAGCACAATGCTCAAGGCGGACATTCTTTACTAGTTAAGCTGAACTATTGTTTAGTTTTAAGAAGAATCCAGGGGATATTTTCTGTTTAAGTTTTAAAGATTATCTTAGGGCAATATTTTCAGGGGTTCATCCAGCCTCCATGGCTCCACAGTCTGTGGGTTTTGTCAAATGCTTAATGTCATGTGACCCCCGTTAACGGTATCATACAGAATAGTTTCACTGCCCTGAAAATGTCCCGAGCTCCACCTGTTCATCCCTTCTTTCTACTTCCCCAACTCCTGGCAACAACTGATCTTTTTACTAACTCTATAGTTTAGCCTTTCCCAGAATGTCAATATAGTTGGAACCATACAGTATGTAGCCTTTTCCGACTGGCTTCTTTCACGGCTATTTTGCTGTTAGTTGCTGCCGAATCGGCTCTGACTGATAGCGACCTATGTACAACAGAATGAAATGTTGCCCCCTCCTGTGTTATCTTCATGATCTTTGGGATGTCTGAGTCCATTGCTGGGGCCATTGTGTCAATCTATCTAATTGAGAGTTTCACTTAGCAACATGCATTTAAGGTTCCTCCACATCTTTTCGTGGCGTAATAGCACATTTCTTCTTGTCGCTGAATCATATTCCATGGTATGGATGTGCCACAGGTTGTTGACCCATTCATTTATTCACCTGTCTCTTCAGTGTCTTTTTTTTTTTTTAATTAATTTTTTTATTGTGATTTAGGTGAAAGTCAAGGCTGTAATCTTTACGGAAGCAGCCTTCCATACCTTTCTCCTGCAGAGCAGTTGTGGGTTTGAACCTCCAATCTTTCAGTGAGCAGCCTAGCTCTTTAACCACTAGGCAACCAGGGCTCCTTAAAAGATACTCAAATTGCTTTCTTATCCTGTTGTGTGCTGAGCCTCCCACCCCCACCCCAACATGCATAGTACACCCCATGTCTCATTTCATCCTCACCAGAACTTAGGGGACAGGAATTATTATCTATGATTTTCCAGTGAAGAAATAGAGAACACTCCTCCTCCCCCTCCCACCCCCCACGCCCCAGAGAGGAGAAGTGCCTTGCTTAGAGAGGAGGCCCTGACACTCCCATCCAGGACATCTTCCTTGCCTAGTAAAAGTACGGCCCAGGGAGGGAAAGTGATTTGCCTGAGGCTACACCAAGGTCAAGGACAGACCCTAGTCCCCTCCCTTCCCTCAGGGCAGTGCTCTTTCACCACCCACAGCTACCCCCTCCATCCTCTGGAAAGAAGTGGATTCTTAAGCTTCACCCTGGGACAATCTTCATTCCCATTTGACAGATGGGGAAACTGAGACCCAGGAAGCAGCAGTGATGGTGCCCATCAGGTCATGAAAATCACAGCTAACATGTGTACAGTACCAAAATTGAGTGGCTTGTAAGAACAGAAATTTATCGTCTCACAGTTCTGGAGTCCAGAAGTCCAAATCAGGGTATCAGCCATATTGATTCCTTTTGAGGGCTCTGAGAGAGAAACTGTTTCATGCTTCTCTCCTAGCTTCTAGTAGTTCCAAGCATTCCTTGGCATGCAGCTGTAGGTCACATGGTATCATTCTTCTGTCTCCCTGTCTCTGTGCATCTTCTCTTTTATAAGGACACCAGTCATATAGGATTAGGACCCATCCTACTCCAGTATGACCTCATGTTAACCTAACAACATCTTCACTCTATTTTCAAATATGTTCATATTCACAGTCCATAGTCTACAGAAATAGTTGCAAAAGGACCTTTACCTCCCTTCTTGGATTCCCGCTATTAGCTATTACTCCCTCCTTAGGCCTCGGAGCTCTCTGGGTGAGATAAAACAAACAAAATCCCGTTGTCACTGAGTCAATTGTGACTCATGGCAATCCCACACGTTACAGAGTAGAACTGAGCTCCAGAGGGTTTTCTTGGAAGCAGACTGCCGGGACTTTCTTCTATGGAGTCACTTGATGGTTTCAAACATGTTAACCTTTTAGTTAGCAAACCATTTGCACAACCCAGGGGTGTTGAGTGAGATTAAAAAAAAAAAAACCAAACCCGTTGCCACTGAGTCTCATAGCAACCCTATAGGACAAAGTAGAACTGCCCCATAGGGTTTCCTAGGAGCGGCTGGCTGGTGGATTCGAACTCCGATTTTTTGGTTAACAGACGAGCTCTTAACCACTGTGCCACCAGGTCTCCTGGGTGAGATAAAGGAGGGCACTATTCCCAAAAGGAGCCCTGGTGGCACAGTGATTAAGAGCTCGGCTGCTAACCAAAAGGTCAGCAGTTCAAAGCCACCAGCCGCTCCTTGGAAACCCTATGGGGCAGTTCTACTCTGTCCTGTAGGGTCACTATCAGTCAGAATCAACTTGACAGCAATGGTTTTTTTTTTAATTCCCAGAAAGTTGCCCAACCTTGCAGCTTCTATGACCTATTCCTCCTCCTCAGGAAGGGCACTAAGGGCAACAGGCTACCCCCAACACAACCATGCCATTTATTCCCCTTTGAAAAAGGAAATGACTGTTCTTTTGTGACTCCCTTGCACTCCATGAACTTGCTGGAAAAAGGGCAGGTGAGAAGAGGAAACAGGCAAATTACATTTTCTGGAGCACCACAACAACTCCTGCAAGGAGGGCAGTTAGAACCCCCACTTTACATATGAGAAAACCAAGGTGCAGTAAAAATAAGGAACTTGTCCACAGTCCACAGAGTTACGGGCCCACGCTCAGTTTCCAGTGGCCCAGGGGTTAAGGTCAGTGTGAAAGTTGCAGGGTTAAGTTGAAGGACACTTTCCTACCAGAGAGGGGCTGTGCTACCTCTATAGTCATCACACAATAACCTGTTCCTAGGCACACATACTTTGTTTTCATCTCTAATCCAGAACCGAAACGCCTTCTGGGTTTTGCCAATCTAGTTTAGGTAAGAGGCACTGGGTAACTTCGAATTACTATTGAAAGGGGAGAGCTCTATCTCATGTTAACAATAACTGAATCTGCTTGTAAAAAAATGATCAGATTGTCAAAATTATCAGGGTTGGGCGAGGTAAATTACCTGGCATTGCTGCCATACCAGGGAACAGTCGAAATGCAAGGTTGATGAGAATACTACATAAAGGATCCAGGAGACCAGGGGTAGAAGCCCACCCTCTAAGGGCTCAGTTTTCCCAGCTGTCAGACAGTATCTCAGGGGCTCCCAGTGGTTACTTTCCTTATCTCCTCGGCTCTGTGTACAGAGAAAGAAGCCGCCTTTCCTGAAGGGCCAGAGGGCTTCATGCTCCCATTCCTAGCCAGTGTTTTTCAGCCATGGGGGAGGAAACTTATTTCCCAGAGTGTGGCCAAACTTAGCCTTACCAGCCCCGAGGACAGAAAATGTCTCCTAGAGGACTTTGAGCCTCTAGGAGAAAGGGCCATAAGGACAGTATCGGAATAATTTTATTTTGTTGTTGGGTCTGCTCAGACCCATGGCGACCTTACGTGTAACAGAATATGACCTTTTAATATTAAATACAGTACAAACTCTTCATGCTTATGGGCAACGGAGGTAAAAGGGCAAAGCCATGCATGACTCCATGCCACTTCCGATTCTGTAGCTCATGCCTAAAGGAAGCTCTCTATGGCCTGAGGTGCCAGTCCTGGCTCCCCATGGCTGACATCACAGACTAACTCAGTTAGATCCTTTGTGTTCTTAGGCAGTTACGTTTCCCTCTTTGTGCCTCAGTCTTCTTATCCAAAAAATGTGGCTAAAACATCCCTTCAGGAAGCCTCAGATGAATTCAACCAGGTCAGAGGTGGAAGGTCTGTAGAATACTAGCCCGAGGCACTGTTGCAGTTTTTATTAAAGTGGGGGAAAGGCATCTTTCTCTCAAGTTGGAAGCTCCCAGAGGCCAGGACCTCCGTCTCCCTGCCCCTACCATGGAAAGGGAAAGCGCTCTCTTCCACCAGTGTCTCCCACCCACCTCCCTCCCCGAGTGCCATGCTACTTTCTTAGGGGCCCCCTTCGGGTCTCCCTTTCCTGTTACTCCCACTCCACACTGTCCAGGTGTCAAAGATATCCTAGCTGGCGAGGGTTGGCCAGGGCTAGAGGGGTCCCAGAGAGGAGGAGGCCAGACACCGCGCTGAGGCCAGGCTCTGCCTCCAGTCCCTAGTCACGCACCAAGGCGTACTCCTTTGGCGCCCAGAGCAGGCGCGGCCGGCGGATCTCCGCCCGCTCGCCGATTTCCGGGCTCCAGCAGAACTCGGGTGACAGCACCTTCGCGGGCTTGTGCAGCCAGAAAAACTTGTTGAGGTGGCTCTCGTCGTGCCAGCGCGCCTCGATGCCGCGCCCGCGGTCCCGCCGCATGGCCTGCACGCAGTGCGCCGTCAAAGAGCGTAGCGCCGCCATGCTGCCCCCAAACACGGCCGCGTGGTAATAGAAGTCGCCCTCTCCAGGGGCCAGCACGGCGGCCGAGCGCACGTCGCGCTCAAAGGGCAGCAGCCACCGTGGCCAGCGGTAGTGCCAGGCGTGCAGCTGCGCCACCGACTCGGCCAGCGCCTCAGGCCCAAAGGGGCCGCTGAAGTGTTGGTCCACGTCCATGCAGAGCACGAAGTGCGCCTCGCGGCCCAGCCGCCCGCCCAGCGCCTCGTGCAACGTGCGCATGCGCTCCATTGACACATCCTGCCAGCGCTGCTCGCGGGCCACGTACTCCACGCGCAGCTGGCGGCCCTCGCCTAGCGCCACATGTGGCACGGCGGCCGGGCGCTCGGTAAACACGTAGTACACCACGCGCTGGCCCACCATGAAATGCTGCTCAGCTGTCTCCAGGAAGCGCGCCAGATACTTCTCCAGATATCTGCGGTGTCGGGGGAGGGCGGAGGGAGGAGGGGGGAGGGGGAGGGGGTTGGTGGAGGAAGGTGAACCAAAGTCAGCCTGAAGGCCCCTCCCCGCGCAACCTTGCTCCCCTCTCCCCCCTCCCCCAATTGGTGGCTCTAGTCATTTGCCAGGAGTCCAATCCTTGTAATCCTACCACCTTAGCCCCTGGAACTCCAGAATCGAATCTTTCAGCTTTGGCTTGGAGATTAAAGATGGCTGCAAATTGCCACTCCTGTCCTGGAGAGATGGGGGTCCGTGGTCTCTCCCTTGAATATGGGCTTTCCTGTGACTGTTTCGATCAATAGAGTACCGAGGAAGTGATGCTATGCCAGCTCTTAGGAGAACTGGCAACGTTAGCCTTTGCCTCTTTAGAGCCCCTAAACTATTCCAGAACTGTGGTGCTGCCGTGCTGTGAGGAAGCCAAAGCTAGCCATGTAGAGAGGCTGTGTGGAAAGAGAGGTCTTCAACAGTTTAGTAATTCCAGTTGAGGCCTGGATATCTTGTAGCAGAGAGGAGCCCTTCCTGCTGGGCCTTGTCAGAATTCCTGACCCACAAAATCATACAATATAGTAATAAATTGTTTTAAATCATTAAGTTTGGGGTAATTCCTCACATAGTTTACTAGAACATTTATGATATTGGAAACTTTGTATTAACAGAATTTTAGGATCCTGTAGTTTTAAAATAAGAGTGATAATGCCTGATATTTTTGAACATTTATCATATGGCAGACACTGTTCTAAGTCTATGTACATTACCCTCACAGTTCATTATTACTTCCATTTTTCAGATGAGGAAAACTGAGACACAAAGAGCTTTAGTAACTTGCACAAGTGTACCCAGTTAATAAGTGGAAGCACCAGGACTTGAACCCAGTTTCAAATCCTACCGGCTTCAAATACGAGCCTGTTCCTTTACCCATACTTGCTGTATTCTTTATGGAGCTGTGGGAAGCTGGAATCAAAGACCTTGGAAGCCTCAGAATCCCAGGGTATGGATTCACAGAACCTTGGAACTCGGTCTTCTAGACTTCAGAACTCTGAAATTGCTGGACCCTGAGACTCTGGTGCCTAAGGTTCGTATAGGAAGCACTTCTCAGCATTCATGACAGAAGTCAGGGCACCGAGGCCCCAGGAGAGGCCAAGGCCCCAAGTGACCCAGCAGTTCTGCCCATTGGGTCGATAGGCCAGCTCTTGGTCTTGTTTGCCCCCTTGCTTCCCAGAGGCTATTTCTGGAAGGTGGATACTCAGCTTGGACACTCCCTCCCATCCGTAATGGAGAGGTCAGTACCTCTACTATTTATTCTCCACCTCCCATTCCCAGTTACTTCTCACACATGGAGGCCCTGCCATTGTGTAGGCCACTCAGCTCCTTGCTCACTCCTGCAGAGATTCTGTTCTTCACTCTCCACAGCCGCCTGCTCCCATGGCCACTCCCTCAACTTGGTCATCGTCAACATCTGTTCTACCTCCATAACTGTACCCTCACCCATCCCACTCTGTGAGCAAACCCCCATTCTTCTGTCTCACTGACTCTGATACCCTTTGAACATTCCTACCTCACTGAGTCCTCTGATCTGCTGACCCTACCACTTTTTCAGTATTCATCACCCCTCTGCTCTTCACTTCCCCAGTCCCAATGCTGCAGCTCCCCAGCCACTCTCCCTTCATCAGAGAGGTACCCTCTGTGTACTGTGCGCCTGCCCCTGAGCCACTGACCTCCAGTGGACACTCTCTGCAGCCAGGTCATCCCTTCTATTTACCCAGTTGGTTTCCCCTCTCATCACCCTCACCTGAAATCATTTTCTGAACACAAACCCACCAGTGCCTCCAGATGGACCAGCTCCAGCCCTTAGGCAGCTTCCTTCTAGGACATGGTTCTGAGCCCCCGGCTGCCTGTGCTGGACGGGCTTGATAGTTTTGGTGTCCGGGGGGTAGTGGGGAATGGTATTGCCCTCATCCTGGGAGTCTGGGACAAGGGTTGCTGTCTTTGCGTTCACCTTGGGATCCCATGGCACAAGGAAATGGGGTGTCCCCAACCTCTTTCATCCCATGAACACCCCCACCCCGCTCCCTACCTAGACAGCACCCCCTCCCCTCCCTAGGCCTTACCTGCCTACAGCAAAGACGGTCAGCCCAATGGTAAGGTTCTGCTGTCCAACCTTTTGCTGGGCCACATCTGGGTCAAAGGTGCCATCCCAAATAATGGGGGCCCCCCAGGAGGTACAGGTCAGGACTTCAGGCCGGGCCCTGGCCAGGGCAGGGGTAGGGAGACACTTGGTGCGTGCTCACTGCCACCTCCCCAGTGCTGGCCCTTGGGGACCCACAGATGGGTCAGACCCAGCCCCTGCCCTGAGCTGCCCCTACACAGAACTGACACAGACAGGTACAGGACTGGGAGATGTGTGACCTGTGGGGGCCACGGAGGCTGGTGGGCTGAGCATCTGGCTATGCCAGGGTGGGGGACGTGAGACATTCAGGAACACTGGGGCAGAGCTGTGCAGGGTAGGTGGGCATTCTGGGGTTGAGAGGGATGATAACTCCTTACCAGGGACGCAGGAGACCTGTGAAGTTGTCACTCAGCAGGGGCATTCTGGCCGAAGGGCAGACACCCATGGGGATGAAGACTTCCAGGTGCCTGCGGGGTGGGGGCCGCAGTGAGCCAGCCTGCCTCAGAAGCCCTCTTGCTTTGCTCCTTACAAGGAGTGAGAGCCCACAAGGACCGTTGCCATGTCAGCCACCACCCTCCATCCCTCAAGGAGGCACTTAACAAGTAGATCTCTAGGGTCTCAGCCCCCATACTGGTGGTCCTGCCTTGAGTGCTGGGGAGGAGATTGTACCTGACTGCAGGGTGCCAGTACAGGATCAGGCCTAGGACGCCAAATGCAAGTAGGATCAGCTGGCAGAAGATTCTCTTCCAGGCCCTGGGGGCAGGGTGTCATCAGCAACTCATTTATACACATAAACACACACATAATTATTTACATAATTTTAAAGTGTCCCATTATTTGCTTTTCTGAATAAGAATATACTCTATTCACATGGTACAGACAGTCAAAGGAGCTAAAAGGTATATACAATGAAAAGTCTTTCCTGCTCCCAGCTACCCAGTTCCTCTACATGAAGGCAACCGGTGTTACCAGTTTCTTGGGTGTCCTTGCAGAGATAGTCTGTGCACATACAGGCAAATATACATATGGCAGCAAGTACACACACACACACACACAGTTTTTTTCTTTCCCCTCCACGAATGGTAGCACAATAAACATGCTGTTCTGCACCTTGTGCTTTTCACTGAGCATTGTATCTTCAAGGTTATTTCATCTCAGCACCTAAAGAGCTTAAAGAGCTTCCTGACCCTTTTTTCCAGCTACCTAATATGCAATTAGGAGCCCTGGTGGCGCAGTGGTTAAGCGCTATGGCGAGCTACAGCTGCTAACCGAAAAGGTCAGCGGTTGCAATCCACCAGCTGCTCCTGGGAAACCTTGTGTGGCAGTTCTACTCTGTCCTATAGGGTCACTATGAGTCAGAATCGACTTGCCAGCAACGGGTTGATATGCAATTGATTGGAGCTAGCCAGGTAATTTACCTAACCAGGCCTGTTCTGATGAGTATTTAGCTTTCTAATCCTTTGCTTTTCCCAGCAGCACTGCAGGGAATGACCTAGGGCAGGCTTGGGGCAGTAACAGTAGGAGTTGGGGTGCTTAGCCTGGGAGGAGGGTGGAACTGACCTTCGACAGCAGGAGAGGCCGGGAGAGAATTTGGGGAGTGTTTGGCTTGGTGGCTGGAGTTGAGAGCTGTCTGGGACTCAGAGCTGAGTTGCTGGGATACCTTGAGAGCTGGCTGTGGTCAGGACCAACCTGTCTGTGGCGGCTCCAGTCACCAGGCCAGGCGAGTTCCTGCAGCAGAGCTCAGAGGCCCCACTCCCAGCTCAGAGGAGGCGGACTTTGGGATTTGACCATGGTGGGAGGTTTTCCAGGAAGGACCCAAAAGGTTGAGAAGGAGCTCCTCCTGGGAACTCACCCCACCCTCCCCAGCCCCTATGGTGCGCCCTTGTCTCCAGACAGCCTGGAACCTTAGTGATGACGAACATGGACACCAGAGCCAGATCCCTGGATTTGAAGCCCGTCTCCACTGCTTCTTAGCCTTCTGACTTGGGCAAGGTTATGGACCACTTTGGGCTTCAGTCCCCTCATCTATTAAATGGGGATAATAAGAATACCTTCTGTTATGAACCGAATTGTGTCCCCCAAAAATAAGTGTTATAAATCCTAATCCCTATACCTGTGGTTATAATCCCATTTGGGAATGGGTTTTCTTTGTTATGGTAAGAGGCCATATTAATGTAGGGTGTGTTGTAAGCCAGTCACCTTTGAGATGTAGAAAAAACAGATTAGGACAGAGAAGCAAGCAGATATGGGGGAAGATAGATGCCACGCCACATGAAGATCACCCTGATCACCAAGGAATAGAAGCTGAAAAGAGACAAGAATGTTCCCCAAGAGCCAACACAGAGAGAAAGGCTTCCCCTAGAGCCAGTGGCCTGAATTTGGACTTCTAGCCTCCTAAACTGTGGAAAAATAAATTTCTGTTTGTTAAAGCCACCCTCTTGTGGTATTCCTGTTATAGCAGCACTAGATAACTAAGACACTTTCTTCGAAGCTATGTGGTGGACATTGAGTTAAGACATGCTAACCACTGGGAACAAGACCACGCACGTAGTAATAGCTCAGTACACGTTAGGTATTGTTGTTGTTGACGATGATGATGATCACCATTCCTCTTGAACAGACCCTCATCATCCCCTGGCCAACTTCCCAGCTTTACTCCCTGCTCTGCAAATCCTTCAAAAATCTGGCTGCCTTGGTCTCCTTCAAGAAGCCTGCTTGTGACAGACCCTCCTTGCCCTGCCTTTTCTGCTCCCCACCTCCACCCCCTTTAACCGTTCCTTGGCAAGTACATCTAGTAAATAGCTCTGAGGACAGTCTTGCAGTTGTGTCTGTATGTATCAGCATGTGTGCCAACTCAGCACATGGCACCTCCACCTATTTAATTGGTCAAGCTAGAAGCCCAGGTGCACCCTGACCCTGTCCTCCCCCTCCTCCTCCGTCATTCCAGGCTTGTGTTGACTTGGCCTGCTTGATCTCGCCCCTCGCTGTCCCTCCTCTTCTACCCTTTGGCCCCACTGTGCTGGTGGCTTATCTCTCATCAGGACAATTGCAGCAGCTCCCTCCCTCCTGCCAGTCACTCGCTGCATGGCCACCAGAGTCATTTCATAAACAACCAACCTGCCTTAACCGCTTTCACACAGCGCAGACAGGTAAGTCCTCAGAGAAGAAATATATTTACAAATCCATATGTATGTAGACAAACATGGAAAAACGGTCACCCTCACTAGTAATCAAAAACATGCAAATTAGAGAAGGGAGGTATGTTTTGCCTATAAAATGGGCACTTTTTTTTTTTTTTTTTAAATAAAAATAACCAAGCTGCAAGAATACAGTGAGAAAGGCACTCTTAGGCTTGCTGGCGCGAGTGTAAATTGCTACAGCCTTTTTGGAAAGCGACTCAGCTATAGGAGTGGAAAGCTTTCAATATGCATTGCCTTTGATCCAGTAACTCCAGCTTCTGGGAATCTGTTCAAAGGAGATAAACTTCAGTATGGAAACGTTTATGCGTCAAGATGTTTGCTAGTTTCTGTTCATTTGTGCATTCAACATATACTTACTGGGCACAAGCTCAGTATCAAGCTCTGTGCTAGGTCAGGGGTTTGGAGGTGAATGAGATACAGACCCTGTCTTCAGGAAATAGAGTCATGAAGATGTGTGTAGCGGGGAGTAGAGGGTGAGTCAGATGACAGGCGGAAAACAAGTGAATAAAACACAGCACAGTGAATGCTGTGATTAGTATAAATACAAGATGGTATGAGGGCAAATCAGAGGGTGGAGCCTAGCTTTGACAGATGAGGAAGAAGTCAGGAAAGCTTCCTGGAGGAGGTGACCTCTAAGCGAGGACCTGAAGAATTAGAAGTTAGCCAGGCAAAGAAGGCAGTGGTGGAAAGGATGTCCATGAAAAGGAAACAGTGTGCATAAATTAGGCAGGAAGAGAAAGCTTGGAATGTACATGGAACTGCAGGTCATTCTATATGGGTGCAGTGTAGTGTGCAGATGGAGTGGTGAGAGTTGAGGCTGCAGAAGTCAGCCAGGGCCAGGTAACCAAGGATTTGAATTCTAGGCTAAGGAGTTCGGACTTTATCTTGAGGGCCATGGGGAGCCGTGAGATGTCTTTCCATCAGAGGGTGACATGGTCATATTTTTATTTGGAAAAGGTGTTCCAGCTCAACTTGTGAGGCTGGACATGGTGGGGTGGGAGTGAGGGGTTGGCTGGAGGTGGGGAGACTGATTAGAGGCCAGTTGCCAGCCCACAGGAGCTAATGGGGGCATGAACCAGGGTGCTGACAGTGGGAAGGAACGGATAACAAAGGACTACCAAGGAGGTGGAATGGTCAGAATTGTCATTGATTAGAGGGCCAGGGCTAGGGGCTGGGAGAGGAGGAAATGCTCGACGGTCTGGGCTGGCAGGCTCAGGAGAGGGTTCTGGGATTCTCCAGGAGGGCATGGACATCATGGGAGTAGGTGGTCTCCAGGGAGAGAGCACAGAGGGGAGAGAGGCCAGGGCCCAGGACTGTGAGGGGATGGTGGGAATGGGAAGAGACTGAGGGCAAAGTCAGGTTCTCAGTGGGCAGGGGAGTGACGGAAGGTACAGAAGTGAAAGCGGAAGGAGTAGGTGATTCCTTTTAGAAGTTTGACTGTAAGGAATGAGACAGAATGGTAACCGGAGGGGAGGTGGGGTGTTGGGATTAATGGAGGTATTTGTTTTCTTTTACATAAGGGAGACCTGAGCCTGGTTCAGTGCTGACTGGATGGTATCTACAGAGAAGGGGGTTTGAAGTCACAGGGACAGGCATCATCTGAGCATAAGACAGAACTGAAAAAGGCCCTGGTGTCTAGCTGAAGGGGTTGGCTAAATCAACTTATTATGAAGTCTCTGCAATAACATGGAAAAAATCTTACACAGGAATGTTAAATGAAAAAAGCAGGATCCAAAATTGATGGGCATTACAATTTAGTAAAAAATAAAAGCATGCACCAGAAAATAAGATGAAAAGAAAAAACTTAAGAGGTTGTATTGGGGCAATGAGATTACAGTAGGGTTTTTTCTTTTCTTTATCCTCCCTGCCCCCTCCCCAGTTATCTATAATATGAAGACCCTGGTGGCCCAACACTTAAGCACTCAGCTGCTAATCAAAGGTCTGCAGTTCAAGCCCACCAGTGGCTCCTTGTGAGAAAAGATCTGGCAGTTTGTTGCTCCCATGAAGATTACAGCCTGGGAAACCCTGTGTGGCAGTTCTACTGTGTCATATAGGATCGCTATGTGTCAGAATTGACTCGACAGCACACAGCCACGACCTCTAATATGCTTATTTGCTTTCTTAATGAAGGAAAAATACAAAGAATTAGCAGTTTAGAAAAAAAGAAACAATTTGTTCCTAGTAACTGCAAGATAAAGTCCATATCCCTTAGCCCTGCCTTAAGAAGCCTTCAAAATCTGACCCCTCACCTGTTAACATTTTAAGCGCTCACACCCTCTGACTCAGCTTTCCCACCTCCAGGAATTGAAACTACACAGTGGGCAGGACAAGGGTGCTCTGTGGCACTGTTTGGAAAAAGCAAATGGATTTCAACCTCAGTGTCCGTCAGTAGGGAACTGGATGAATGAATTATGCATATCCATGCAACGGAAATCAACATGGTGATTACAAAAATGAGGTAGGTTTACGCGTAATCTCTGAAAAAACAGTCCTAATGTATCACATGGTGTTATGGATTGAATTGTGTTCCCTCAGAATAAGTACTGAAATCCTAACCCCTATAAACCAAAAAAAAAAAAACAACAAAAACTAGTTGTGTCAAATCTTTCTGACTCATGGCTCCATGTGTGGCGGAGTAAAACTGTGCTCCATAGGGTTTTCAAGGCTGTGACCTTTTGGAAGAAGATGGCCAGGCCTTTCTTCTCATGCACCTCTGGGTAGGCTCAAACAGCCAACCTTTCAGTTAGTACAGGTAGTCCTTGACTCATGATGGGGTTCTGTTCCAAGGATTCTGTCGTAAGTCCGTTCTGACATAGTTGAACACCTTTTTTTTTTTTTCAGTTTTCATTATTATTGCCTTTTATTATCCTTGCTTTATACGTTTGATCTTTGAACATCTGCTAGTGAACATCTGCGAATGATAACATCAGCAAATTATGCACTGCAACATTGTATGTTGTGCATATTACTAATGATAAAATGTAAAAAAAACCAGATGGTTGTAAGTGTGGTTTGTGGTAACTTGAATATGTGGTAAGCTGGGGACTACCTGTAGGTGAGAGCTTAGCCATTTGTGTCGCCCTACCCTATTTCCAATAAGATCATATCCACTGGTATGGAGACTCCTACCCTAACCTCTATACCTGTGGATATGATCTTATTTGGAAATAAGATTTCCTTTTGATGTTAATGAACAATATCACTATAGGGTGTGTCCTAAACCTAATCACTTCTGAGTCATAAAAGAGCAGATTAGACATAGAAGTGAGCAACAAATGGGTGGGGAGGAAATGCCATATGAGGATCACTAAGAAACAGGAAAGTTGGGGTTACAGAAGCTGAAAGAGACAAGGATCTTCCCCCAGAGCCAACAGTGAGAGCCTTCCCCTAGATCCATGCCCTGCATTTGGACCTCTAGCCTCCTGAGCTGTGAGAAGATACATTTCTTTAAAGGTACCCACTTGTGTACTTCTGTTACGGCAGCACTAGGAAACTAAGACACATGCAAAAGGAAGTAACAGAACTATATGTGGGGGGAAAGCCCCTACACCTATGCATCTGTGTAACTAGTTA